CACCAAGGTCTTCGTGCTCGATCCCAACATTTCCGCTCGTGGTGCGGAAAACACAGCCCCGATGTGTGTAGGGGAAGTTGAGCGGCAGTCTTCTCGCCGCCGGTGTCCATGTCGCTTGGACTTGAGTGATCTCCCAAGGCACCAGGTTCTGGATCTCTGCCATGAGTGCGTCGCCCTCATTGATGTAGAAGGGCCTCTTGAAGGTGTTCATGAAGCGCCGTTCGATCTCGTCGAGCAGTTCGCCCCAGCGTTGAAGGTCTGAGCTGGGTGCAACGTAGTAGACCTTGTTGGTCGTCATTGGCAGGGTCGTCACCTGGTCATTCGCGAGGGTGTTGTTGGCACCGTTGTCATACTTGGGCAGGTTATGCGTCCGGTACACGTGGAATCTTTGAGGGTTGCGCTGACGAGCTTCTTCTTGTAGGCCTTCAAGGATAGCGCATGCCAGGCCATTGCAGTATTCTCCTGAAGCCTTCGTGTCCTTGCCCTCGATTGCCTTCGTGTAGTACTTCTGTTCCTCGGTGAGGCGATGTTGTAGCCGTTGGGCGATCGGCTGACTGTTGGTCACCCACTTGTGTGGCTTTTGGATGGGCCATCCATCTGATGTCTCAGCGCCGTATGCGCCGGCATCGCAGGTCACTTCCAGGTTGTTGGCCAAGTTGCGTACGTTCTGGATGGAAGGTTCTTGCCATAGAGCTGAGCGAAGAGGGTTCTCGCCCAGGTAAAGCCGACCTTCACGGTCTTGTTCTTGGCATAGTCGTGCGCCAAGCTCAACAAGGGGTCGTTCTTGTTCTCGGATGGCTTCAAGCTCTTCAGGCCTCCGAGAGTAGTTCATGTTCTGGTTGAAGATGCTCCAAGGGCCGCATGGCCAGGCAACAAGAAGTAGCAGTGGTTTGAGCTTCTGGACCGCCTGGATCAGCAACTGCTTGCCGTGCTCGGTCTTGAGGTCGATGTCATAGATCAGGTCGAAGGGCTGGACTGCGCTCAATCCAAAGCGAGGTGCCAATTCCGACACTTTTGCAGTTCCAGCGAAGACTTCCAGGAGGTCCAAAACCATGCAGTCTGCCTTGGAGCCGCTTTTCTTGTAGTCCAAGTGCGTTGGCATGGACTTGTAGACTTGCAGCTCACGGTCCATTGTTTTTGACACTTGTCGTAGATGGCCAGTCAGCCATGCTTTTGTGCCCTTCTTCATGGTAGTTGAGGTAGTCCCGAATGCTGTGGTAGGGCCGGATGCGTTCATACTGGAGCTCATAGGTGGAGTTGCCGTAGAGCTCATGGAGTGGGCTCCGGAACTTTCTCCCAGTCGAAGCTGTCGTCCGAGTCCACGTTGTAGGTCTCTGTCTCGACCTTTGGCTTGCGCTTCGCTGGCTTCGTTTCGCTCTTGGAGCGAGCCGTCGATTCCGGGGTGCACCAAAGGGTCGATTCCGGAGTGCCCGGGGCTGCAAGTGCTCGCACAGGGCTCGATGGTGGTTCCGACGTACTCGGAGAGGACCGGGAAGGTTGAGTGTAATTGAGCGGCTGGATGCTGAGGCCCATGCGGAGAGCTGGGGTATGCCGTGTGTCCACAAAGTTCGTGGCCGTGTTGGAGGAGGACGGTAAGGGCAGCGGCACACAGCCCTTTCTTGACATTGGCTCGACCCACTTTGCCAAGCCTTGGTCCCACTTCCACTTCTTTCCGCAGTCCTGGCATTTGCTGTAGCTGCCATGCCTGTTCCCGTAGCGAGTCTGACGCTTGTGCTCGCACGGTCCGAGGGCAGTCTTCAGAAGCTGCTCCTTCTCCCCCATGTAGAGGGGGTCTTGACATGCCAGCCACTCGCGGTCGCGGATGCCCAGCAGGGTCGCTTGCACCAAGACACGGGCCAAGAGGATCTCGGCGTGCTTGAGGGCTCTCACCATGCGCCGCCATGCCTGCAACCACTTTGGCGGTATCTGCGGCATATGGAGGGCGATGCAAGTGCGGCTCGAGCCTGTGCTTCTCGGTCGTGACAAACTCAGCGTCACATGCCTGCTCAACCATCGATGAGAGACTCTTCCAAACATCGTGGGTGTGGACATGCAGTGGAAATGATGCAATGTCTAAAGCAAGATGTCCATTCAACAACACGATCGGCACGCTGCACTTCAGACCGTCGAGATGTGCTCTCTGGTTGGGGAGGTCCAAGGTGGCCTTCAACTTCTCTTTGAGGAGGACGTTGCTTCCCAAAAGGGGGATGTCGTTCGTGGTGTCCAACACGGAGGTGCCGAGCAAACAACAGGTTGAAGGTGAGCTATCGAAACAACATGGTAGGTATGCATGAAGTTTGCTGTATTGTGGTGGTCCATGTCCGAACTCGAAGGGTTCGTGGCTTGAAGTGGTCTTTGGTTTCAACCTCAAATGATGAACATGTTCTTCCCAACATTGGAGCCATGTGGTACTGCAGCAAGTTCGCTGACATGCGGTGTCCAAAACAAGGTAGTGGGAGAAGTTTTTGAGGTTGTTTCCAAACACCATGTACGGCTCGATGTCGCATGGAGGGGAGCTCGGAAGTGACACTACATAGGTGAAGAAGGTGCCGTAGGTCTCTTCATTGATGGGGTCCCCAAAAGTCACTTCTCGAGTTCCTCCGCCAGGCTGTTGAACAGTAAGGACCTTTTTGGCAGAGCTCTTGTCCTTGGACTTGCCACCGCCTTTGGCCTGATCTCTCTTGTCAGAACCTTTGCTGGTGGATGAAGAAGATTGTGGACATTCGGGGTCACCTTGCCAATGTCCCTTAGTCCCACAGGCTGCACAATGGGATTCAGCCTTTCTTTGGGCCACTGATTTGCCGGTGGTGAACTTCCGGCCAAGCTTCAAGCCTGACAAACGCCGGGCCGTCACCGTCAAACAATGCGCTGCAAGCGCCAAGTCTTCTTCGCCAGGCTCCTCGTTGCCGGTGTCGTAGTCCATGGAGGGTTCTTCGCATTCCTCATTGGTCTGCTCTTCAGCCTGGGCTTCATCTTCATCATGTCCACCCTCCTCGGGTGGTTCACTTTCCTGGTCGGGCTCCTCGGGGATCTCCGTCATGTAGGTGGTGTTGTAGCTTCGGGTGAAGGTCGAGGACTTGCCTTTGCCGTCCTTGGTCTTGCCTTTGCCCTTCGAGGAACCCTTGGGCTTTCTCGTATCGATCTTGTTGTTCTCTCTGTCGTCCTTCGGGCCGGTGTCAAAGTCCCGGGTGTAGACCACTGCCGGTACAGGACGATGTTCAGGAAATTGGAGTTCGGCGGCTTCCTTCACGTCCTGGTACTTCAGAGACTGGCCGGTGGCCACGAGTATGAGTCGTTGAGCTTCCAGTCCTAGTCTCATGCGATCTAACAAGCGGGATCCGGAAGCTTCTTGGTCGTACATGGCTTGGATGCTGACTCCCACGCTTTGGAGACTTCTCTCCGTGCGGTGGTATCTGTTGGTGAACGACTTGATCGACTCGCCATTGCGGCGGTTGAGCCGTTCGAAGTCGTCCAAGTATTTCCTTTTGAGGTATATGCCTTTGACCATCAGCGGGGCCCTCAGGGTCTCGACGATGTAGCTGATGCCGTCCTCGTGGTCCACTTTGTCGATGTCGCACCATTCGAGTTCTTGTTCCGCTTCTCCTTGAAGCGAAACGAAAAGCCTCATCGCCGCCTCATTCGGCGGCACGTAGCTGGAGATCTGTCTTCTCCACACCGTGAGCTTCTTCTCCCACCGCTGGAAGGCCTGGATGTCGGAGCGGTGGTAGGCCCAAGGTGGCGGATCTGGTGGGCTGCCGCCTCTGTATTTGAGTCCTGGTTCAGGTCCACGCTTGATGGACCAGGGCTTCTCGGTCTTCTTCGTCTGCTCGGCCAGCTCCTTCAGCATCTTGTCTCTCCAGCCGGCATTCTTTGAGCTGGCTCCTCCACTGGCATCGGATGAAGCTCGAGCTCTCTCATCGGCGGCTTTGGTCTTGCCACCGTCGTTGGCGGCTTTGGTCTTGCCACCTTTGCCCTTCTGAACTGGTCCATCTCCTTTGCCTGAAGGATGCCGTTGAGGTTCAGCGGCATGTGGGTCCGGTAATCGGGGGGGCTTCAACAGGATCAGATCGAGGGGCAGCAGGAGGTGCTTGTTGTGGTACGACCGGTGGTTGAGGTACAGCATGATGTGGTTGGCGTGTTGCCGGTCTTCCATGTGGTTCAACTGGAATCCGTCCTGGGCCTGCTCCAGCTTGCCGGCGAGCTCGTCTTTCTCGGCGGCTAGGTCGAGGCTCAGGACATAGGGTCACAGGGTCAACACATGGGTCATTCGTCAGGGTCTCAGATTCGGCTTGTTCTCGGGCTTCATGGGCTTCAAGGTCTCCTGGATCTCCTGGCCTGCATCTCACCCGGCTCGGAACCCGTGAGGAAGGAGGAGTGGGAGTGTATGTCCATGAACCATGCTCATTGGAGGACGAGGTTGGCCGGTTGGCGTCATAGAAGGAGGTACTCCTGCATTGACGGCAGAAGTAGACGCCATCCACTAGCTCCCACCGAGAGCTCCCGCAGCGAAGGCATAGCCAAAGAGAAGGTGGTGTCGTGACGCTCAACGAACTGTCCGACTCATCATCGTCTTCTCGTGGTCCAGCGCTTCCAAGCGGCGTCCCGCTCTCGTTCTCAGGCTCCAGCTGCTCCTCATCGAAATCCTGGGGATCATCCCACAAGAACGACTGCTCTTCCCATGCATCATCCTCATAGAGCTCGTCGTCGAAGAAGGGTTCCATGCCAGGGAGGTCAGGCACCGCAGGCTCCGCGGCACCAACTGATCACAACGCTTGCTTCTGCGGGCGATCGAACAAGGCGGCCATTTCTCACATGGCGAACGAAGGATTGGCTCAGTGGGCCCAGCTTGGGCATGAAACGCAAAAGGAGACAAGGGCCATGGAGCAAAAGTCTCACACTTTGAAGTTCTTTCTGTTGTTTGCGTTGTTCCACGAAAAGGTGTGGCAGTTGGTTCACGTCTGAGTCGTTCAGCAGCCTCGCAGCCTCAAGGGCCCGGAGACCTGCCTCGTTGGAAGACAAAACCCGCTTTGAACGAGTCAGTGTCCAAGAAAAAAGGATTCTATGAGCAAACACTAAAAACCATCGTCAAACATAGAAAAATGTGACAAAGAAAGAACAATGAAGACTTTATGAGAAACATGAACGTCTATAGAAAACCAACGCAAATGTCAGCAAGGGGTATCAGCCTGGGGGTGTCAAGTCTGTGAATGTCGGAACAAGAAGCGCCCAAAATGGCCCACCAACCATAAAATCATATAGCGACGCTTTTCATGGCATCTCTACTAGGAGCAAGGACGCTACTAGGGGCTCCTGGCCTTACTACTAGGAACAAGAAGCTACTAGGGGCTCCTTAAAAAAGAACACAACACATGTTCATTCTTCTTTGGACCTTTGGACCTGCCATTCTTTCCTTCACTTTTTGGAGCAGTTTCAGTCTGAGCCTCGTTTCAAGCCACTTTTCCTCTCCAACCCCGACAAGGTCCCGGAATCGTTCCATTCGTTCCCGCCTCTCCCAAAGGGTTGCCATTTAATCGAAGCTTGAGAAGACTTCGGTTCACTTGCAGCGCCTCCAGAAATTGTCACGTATTGTCATACTGATACCCAATTAAAAATCGCAAGAAACTCACTCATTCTCAGTTTCCATAAGGGTCTGCGTGTTGCACTCTGGCACGGGGAGAAAGACCGTGACATCTCGTTATCGGTATCTAAGTTGACTTCCCTACATAAAAGTTGTGTGACACGTTGACGGAAATCAGCTGTAGGTTGGAGGCCATCGCTATTAGGAGCAAGTGCATCGATTCTAGTAACAAGTGCCTTACTACTAGTAGCAAGAAACTACTAGGAACAAGTGCATCGCTTCTAGTAACAAGTGCCTTACTAGTAGTAACAAGAAACTATTAGAAACAAGTGCCTTACTACTAGGAACAAGAAACTACTAGGTTTCAACGGTAAATACGTTGAGTTGCAGAACCGTCGTGTGACTCGGTCAAACTCGGTCAACACGTCGGGCGCACGGCCGCCAGCTTCTGGGCTCCGAGGTCGCCCACGAAGTTCCGTTCAAGGCCTGGGAACGAAGGTGCAGAAAGGCGAAAACACAAAGAAAACACAGTTCAACGCTAGTAGGTTGGAGGCCATTTAAGCCAAGGAACTTACATAGAAAAAGAAAGAGGCACTTGAAAGGCAGAACGCAAATAGAAACACAGCGCCAACCAGGTCTAGACATACCAAGGTCGCACCCTGGAGTTTGCCAAGGACCCCATTTTTCCCCCAAACAGGTTTGCCTGTGAGGGGTTCTTACTCCTTTGAAGGGTTGCATGCCCGGGCCGCATGATTTTACACGTGTCCCCGGCTTGATGTTAGAGTTGTCTCCCAGTACACTTGTCTCCTAGTACACTCTGGGTGCTCTGGCCGCATGATTTTACATCTTTTATTGTCCCAATACACTCTGGGTGCTACACTTCTCTCCCACTTGTCTCAGCACTTGGATACTCTTGGCCAGATGATTTTAAACTTGTCCCCCACTTGTCTCCCTTTTTGTACACTCGTCTCCACTTGTCTCGGCCTACTCTGGATACGCTTGGCCGGATGTTTTTATACTTGTCTCCGCTTGCCTCTTTGCTTGCCAGCCTACTTAGACACTCTTGGCCACATGGCTTTACACTTGTCTCCCTGCTTGTCTCCCTTCTTGTTACACTTGTCTCCACTTGCCTCAGACTACTCTGGATACACTTGGCCGGAGCTTGCTTGTCTTCTACTCAGATACTTTTGGGCAGGTGCTCTTGGCCGGGTGCACTTGTTTCCACTTGTCTCTTTGCTTGTCTCCACGCTTGGTTACTCTCGGCCGGATGATTTTTACACTTGTCTCCCTGCTGGTCTTTCTGCTTGTCTCCCTTCTTGCTACACTTGTCTCCACTTGTCTCCCTGCTGGTCTCCCTTCTTGTTCCCCTTGTCTCCCTCATGGTCCCCTGCTTGTCTCACCTCACAAGTTCATGCTGGGCTGAAAGCTCTTAACATTTTTTCAACCGAAGAAAGCATGATAAGTCACGTGTCAGTACAACTCAGCACATTCAGTAGAGCGTATGTTCTGTTTTCGTCTGAATTGCCGGTCCTGAGCGTGAGTTGATTGAGCCAAGCGCTGAAACAAGCCCAGAAGGTCCGAGTTGATTGCCGCGAGCTAGAACGCTTTGAGCCCTTAACGGTTTGACAGTTTGTCTCTGTGGCTTACTTACTAAACGCACAATCTGTTTGGGGTCTACCCTGGTGAGACTTTGCCAAGAACTTAAGTCTTCCAACTGGAAGTTTTGCTGGAATAGAAATTGGGTTGCAGCCCTCAAACACTGTGGACGGTCCGGCGGCGGGCTCTTCGTGAAACGAAGGCATTGCTGCCATAGCAGATTGATCGACACTTGACCACGGCATGTCCGTAGCGTCATCGCCTGACGTGAACATCACGAGCAGGCTCCGCTACCACTACTGACGCGAAGTGCAATGCAGTAGTGGATTTCCCTTGGAAAGAACACAGTCTCGAGAGGGGTCCAACGGACAATGCTCGGGAAGCGAGTCAAGTGCAGCGTCGGCGTTTCCAGGCTTGAGCCAAATGTGTCAGTCATGTGCATATATGAGAGATGCTAGTAGTTTAAATAGCTACTACCGACTGGGCGCAAGAGAGCTCGCGCTTCTTCAAAGAAATTCGAGGCTTCCTTCAAGAAGCTTCGAGTTTACTAATGATTTGGTTCCTAGATTTCTTGGGAAACTTAAGTAGTAGTAGTAGTAGTAGTAGCAGAAGTAGTAGTAGTAGTAGTAGTAGTAGTAGCTTCTTGTTCCTAGTAGCGACGCCAGGGCCCGTACTGTCTTCTTCTTCCTAGTAGTAAGGCCAGGAGCCCCTAGTAGCATCCTTGTTCCTTTCCAAAACACCTTTCTGTTCTTTCCTTCCTTTTCCTTTCCCGTTGTCCGTTCCCTCTTGCACCTCCTCCATTCTTCTTTCTGTTTTGCCTTTCTCTGTAACTTTTCAGCTCAGAATCACACCAAGATCTGAGAGGTATGTGTTCTTGGCAAGGAGCTCTGCTAAGTCTGCCTTACAAGTAGATCGACTGTTCAGATTGGCCCAACTTACAAGAGACAGCATGGTGTAAAGGCGAAGAAGAAACACAATAGAACCAACAATAGTACGGGATGCAAGGGGCAACTAAGTCCGCCAAGACATAGAATTCGCATTTTCTCCGATGTGACAGCCCAAACCCGGCTACAATGAACAGTGCGATGAACCTGAGCTCACCGCTGCTCCATGATCACCGATAGAGTTCCAGCCTTGGCCCAAAACTGAACTCCACTTCGAAAGAAAAACCATCCGACATCCCGAGGTCTAGAAGAAAAACCATCTAAATGTGTATATATACCTATATGTTGTTCCTTTGGAGCATGTCACGCAGGTCTTTTAGGTCCTTTCGGTCTTGGGCCTTATCTGAGGTAGACTCCTTACGCATTCGTTGAACTGTCCTTGCTTACCATTTCCTAGTAGGTCGTCACGTGTGCCAAGCAATGCCAACAGGTGACAAAGTTGAGTCTCAAGGTCCCAAAAAGGACCGACATGAAAAAACAGCTGTCAAGCAAAAAAACATTGAAAACACAAAAACTAATCAAACAACATTCAGGGTCGACTCTTTCAACTTAGACGCCCAGGTCCAAGTGATGCAGCGATCGATTGCCCTGGAGTGCCTTGGCCTCAGTGGCTTGTGCCAGCTGTGCCTCTCTACTCACCGAGATACCACCATTTTTCCTGAATGCGTAGCGAAGGGTTCTCACTTAACTCTGCGTCTGGGGTTGGACGCTTGTGCGCGGGTCATTATGGTAGCGTTAGCAACCGTTGGCAACCGTCCGCGGTACGGCGCTGACTTTGGGCGAAGCTTTTGGATGGTCAGCGAGAATTATTTTGCTGCACTGGTGCAGCGCTTTGTGTTGTCGTTCTGGCAGGTTGGGATTGGCGTCTAGAGGGTGTGTTTGAGGTGGATGCGGCTGTGACGGATTTGCGTTTCAAACTGTTGCTTCGAAGCTGCGCTTTTACGACGTGAGCGTGCTGAGAAAGTGAAATCATTCCGGTGCAAATATGGAAGACATGAAGAGGTCATATTGGTCATATCGTCACTTTTCGTGGCAGGTGCAGTATCTTGTGCGTGTTGGAGGCCTTGAAGTTGAATTTGCGTGGCAGGCGCAGGGAATTGTGAGGTTGCGACGTTTGGTGGAGGTGAATGTCGCTGTGACAGTGGGACTGGTGTGTCAGCGGGTGTGGCTGTGAGGGGCTGGGAATGCGAAATTGCTTGGCGGGGCTGCAGAGTGTGTTTACTCTGATGAGACTTCCCGCTTCACTTTTGAAGGAAGTCTGAAACGAAACGCTCGCTTTGGAGACTTCACACGTGACTTCTACAGCAAGTCTCCTACGAAATGCTGCCTCGAACGAAATGCTTGTTTTGGAGACTTGACCCGTGATTTTTGGAAGAAGTCTCGCACAAAACGCTCGTTCTGTAGACTTGGCGTGCGTTTTGGAGGAAGTCTCGCGCGAAACACTTTTTGCGAACTGGCAAATTGTTGTACGGGAAGCAGCTTCTGGGAGGCAACTTTGTAGTACAAATGTAGTGCAGGAAGTTGCTTGGAGGAGCTGTGTCCTCAGAACTGGCCACTTGGAAGAAGCAGCTTCTGGGAGCTGTGGCCCCAGAATTGGTAGTACGTAGTGCGGGAAACAGCTTCCCGCAAGACGTGCCAGAAAGGAGTCCCACTGTTTCATTCACCTGGCCCTGCTTTTTCGTGCGTTGACCGTGTCCACATGACATCGTGTTTTCTCTTTCGTCGCCACTAGGGCTTCAGGTTTGGCCTAAATCAGACCCAACCGTCTGAGTGTAGAAGGGATGTTGTAGATTCTCGGGAGGCCATCGCTCTTAGGTTGGAGGCTATTGCTAGTAACAAGAAGCTACTAGGAACAAGTGCATCGCTTCTAGTAACAAGTGCCTTACTAGTAGTAACAATGTTCGCTATTAGAAAGAAGAAGTAACAAGTGTAGAAGGAATGTCGTAGATTCCCGCAGTTTCTCTTAGGGACCCTCTCAGGCTCCGTCCAAATGTTGAACGCCACCTCAGCTAGATGTGGGACACCCCAAACCGGTCTGTGTTCAATTCGAAGGTCGGGACCATTGCCAAAGGAGTTGCAATAAGTGTCTAGGCCTCACAGTTGACACCGACGCGCAGCAAGGCGCCCAGAAAAGAGTCCAGAGTCCAGAGGGAATTGCCCTAAAGAAATGAAGCCCCTCTAACCTACTTGCGACGGCGTCCAACCTACTTGCGATGGCCTCAACCTACTTGTGATAGCCTCCAACCGGGGCTCCAATCTAAGAGCGGTGGCCGCAAAGCCTAAAGAAACGGAGCCTTTTTTAATGTTAATCTCTTTGTTTCTTTGGAGAAGTACATTGGGAGATTCAATTCATTGAGGTGTAGAAGCATTCAAAAAGAAAGAAACCTCACTTCTTCGAGGATTCATGTGAGGCCCTGGCTGTTGAGACGAGTGCCTTGCAAAGCAAGGGCTAGAGCCTCGGGCCGTCGTCTTGGGTCACACTCGACACAGGAAGACAGCACCACAAAGCTATTAGAATTACATTAACTAATAGCTTCTTGTTACTACTAGTAAGGCACTTGTTACTAGAAGCGATGCCCTTTGCTCCTAGTAGCTTCTTGTTACGACTATGTTTAAGCCAACCCTTTTGCATAATTAAGTAGAGGCCAAACAAAAGAACATTGCACACATATACTCTTCAATGAGAGGTCCACGACTAAACCCTATAGAGGGTAGGTAAGACTCAAACTGAAGCACCCCGCTCCTGGATCGAATTCCAGCGTAAGCCTCGAAGCTCAAGCAGATTGACCTAAAGCCTTCAAACAGAAAGGGGTAGCAAAGCTTTGGACAAAGACCTCTCCAACTCAAGAAAATAGTAAAAGTCAAAACAACATCGCTACTAGGAACAAGTGCATCGCTTCTAGTAACAAGTGCCTTACTGGTAGTAACAAGAAGCTATTAGTTAATTCTAATTCTATTAGCTTGGTTGATACTAGAAGCGAGGCACTTGTTACTACTAGCGTGGCACTTGTTCCTAGTAGCGATGTTGTTTGTGTTAAGAAACGTTGGGACTCTAGTCTTCCACTTAAAAAAATCTGAAGGTAGGCCGTTTACACGCATTCTTTCCTCACATCCTGCAGGTTGCGACAGGGTTTGAGGCCCAAACAAAGGGTGCGCAAAGAGGAGTTGCCCTGCGAGAGCGCAAAAAACTGCCCGTGGAGCTCTTTGATGCAAAAGCGCTCAGAAGAAGAATGTGATTTAAGTAGCTACTAAGCTTAAGTAGCCACTAATGGCGATGGCCTCCAACCTACTAGCAATGGCCTCCGTGAACACATGTCTCAGTACACCAGTCTTGCTGCCTTGAGGGCATCTGCAAGCACAATAGCTCCTTTGACGCCAAAATGCCATTCCAGGACGAGCTTTTTACTAGGAGCAAGGACGCTACTAGGAACAAGTGCATCGCTTCTAGTAACAGGTGCCTTACTAGTAGTAACAAGAAGCTCTAGGAGCAAGGACGCTAATTACTAGGGGCTCCTGGCATCGCTACTAGGAGCAAAGGACGCTACTAGAAGAGAACAAGAGGAGCACAAGAGCTTGCAGTAGCTTTTAAACCGCTTAAACGTGACCTTAAGCGCTTCTCCTGTATCTCCCAAGGAGTGACCGGTGAGATCCTTGGCAACAGGTGCACACTCAGAACTCCTTCAGCTGGTTTAACTTTAGACTTTCCTCATGTCTTCTCTTTCTTATGTCCTCCTTTCTTTCTTTCTTTCCGTGTATTTCATCCTTTCTCTTTAGGTTGGAGGCCATCGCTCTTAGGTTGGAGTACTTGTATGTCCGAAATCCATTGGTTTCACACGGTTGGTTGGAGTGAGTCGAGGCTCCAAAAGAGAGAGGTCATTCTTCGCCAGTTGACCCAAAGTCTCTTTCAGCAAAAGCTGAGCTTTCGAGACCTCCTGCAAGTAGCAAGGGCGCTACTAGGAACCTTGCATCGTTACTGGGGCTACTAATGCGGCACATCACATCTGGCTACACAGGTCTTGACTCTTCAAAAGCTTTCAAGAAGGCTCCCTCTAAGACTCTACACGTGACCTCTTCACATGTTCTCAATCAGTTGGCGTCCTTGTCGCCGCAACTACACCTTGAAACTGCAAGCACTAGTAAACAAGTGCCTTACTACTAGTAACAAGAAGCTATTAGAATTAACTTAAAATTAACTTAAATTAACTAATAGCTTCTTGTTACTAGTAGTAAGGCACTTGTTACTACTAGCGATGCACCTGTTACTAGAGATGTACCAATGTTGGATCACTGAGGTGGTGACCCAGCTGCGCCCATCGCTACGAACAAAGGACATGGCTACTAGGAGCAAGGGCATCGCTACTAGGAGCAAAGACGCAACTAGGGGCTCCTGGCCATACTACTAGTAACAAGAAGCTACTAGTAACAAAGGGCATCGCTACGAACGGAGCAAGGGCATCGCTACTGTGACGTGTTGACCAAACACGCTGAACGCGTTGTCAATGTGATTCAACTTGTGGCTTTGACGTGGTCACATTTCATGTGGCAAGCAAGCTTGGTGAACGTCTGTTGGCACATGAGCCAGAAGATAACGGGCCATGTGACAAACAGAAGCACAGACTGACTTTTGACGGACCGACACGCCCGGTAGCGTTTGCAGAAAAACAGAATTTGTGGAAAAGAACATCCGCATCTGGTTCGCTGACATTGTCAGCCTCGCCTCCAGTTCATGACCAACCTGAGTTGGGCTTCTCGCATTTCCGTATAAAACCAAAACTCTGAGTTCTGAAACCAAGCGGGGGGGTAGGAGCAAGAAGCTAGGGGCGGCATCGCTACGAACAAAGGAGATCATTGCCAGTCGAAACATGAACCGGATTGAGCTCCAGACTTGTTCCAAGTGATGCTTGGTTTGCCCAATGAGGCGAGAAGCCTCTCATGGCTCGTTTTCACAAAACACATAGGTGACTCGACCCTGTGCCGGGGCTGTCCTGTCCCAGCAGGACTGTGCTTTGCTTTGAAAGCCTTGGTGTTCGATCAAAGAGGCTGAAGGGGTGTCAAGCACGGCAGGGCGGCACTTGCAATCTGTGTGGCAAAATGTTTACTACCAGTAGCAAGTGCATCGATACTAGTACCAACAAGGGCATTACTAGTAGTAACAAGAAGCTATTAACTTAAATTAACTTTAGTTTAATTCTAATAGCAAACATTGGTACTACTAGTAAGGCACTTGTTACTACTAGCGAGGCACTTGTTACTACTTGCAAAATGTTTACCCACAACACGTTCAACATCTTGGAAAATGAGTGGGACATGTTCTCACAGGGACACAGGTCGGGCGTGAAATTTCGTGTGGCAAGGGGAAAGAAAATAGAGCTTTTCGCTGCCAATTTGACATAAGCAAGTTTGCTCCTAGTAGCTTTACTAGGACTAGGGGCTCCTGGCATCGCTACTAGGAGCAAAAAAAAGAACTTTTTGGAACAACTCATCTCGACCGTTTCAGTTTGAGTTCGTTTGAGTTGGGATATCGCTGAGTGCCAAGACTCCCCAAGGACCGCCACCTGCCCAGCAAAGGATTTGGCATACTCCTGTGGGAGCTCCTTAGAACAGGAAGCAATGGCCTCCAAGCAGCTTCTAGCTACTAGTAATAATGCCCTAGCTACTAGTAGCGTCCTTGCTACTAGTAGCGATGCCCTTGTTACTACTGGCAATGGCCTCCAACCTAATTGTGGTGGGAACCTAATTGAAATGGCCTCCAACCTAGAAGCGATGGCCTCCACCTACTAGCGATCTTCTGGATGAAAAAGAGGACTCGTTTCACAGAAAGAAGAGCACAGTGAATGGAACGTCGTAAGTAGAAACTCACAACAACTCAGGGCAAACAGTCGGAAGCGGCGTCATTCCCGGCTTCACGACTCTTCGAGCAACATGCTCAGTTCTTGGGCTTCCAAACCACTCTAGGCTTGGAGGAGCCTGATGGTTTTGCCTCAGACTTGCAAATACACTTGACAAATCCCATGCATTCTTAGCACATGGCAATCCTTGTCAAACCTTAGGCCAGAACGCAGAAATACCTCATGGCTGGTACAGACTCAACTCCCAGTGCACATACTGCCCCGGCCATTGGAGATGACTGGGTGAGCGGCGCGTCGTTGATTACCTTGCTGCACTGCACCTTTCACAAGTCAACTCCACAGTTTTTGACAAACCGGCAAAGAAGGAAAAGACAAAAGAGGGAAAAGACAAAAGACACAGGTCGGTCCAAAAGCGGAAAGAGAAAACAAAGGAGAAAGCGAAACAAGGCTAAGCAACCTCTTGTCAAAAGACCACTTGGAAAGACCAAGCGAACCTGGTTCCCGAAGAAGGCGCTCTGGATGCCCTTGAAAAGGCTCGGAGCATGCACCAACTCACACACAGAGCACCTACACGTCCTCCAAAAAAGAGAAGAAACCACATCTTGGTTGTGTTTGTTGGCTACTTCGTTTGCTCTGCATGTTGATCTTTGTTGCTTGGGCTGTGGATCCTGCATGTGGCAAAAACGCAGGAAACGATACTCCTGGCGAGAGGAGTCGAACGTGGGAAACAACACTCGTGGAACAACAAAGCAGCAGGCTGTGTAAGGCCAGGAGCCCCTAGTAGCGTCCTTGCTCCTAGTAGTAAGGCCCTTTGCTACTAGTAGCTTCTTGTTACTACTAGTAAGGCACTTGTTACTACTGGCGATGCACTTGCTGCTACTAGTAGCTTCTTGCTCCTAGCCAAAATTGAACACAAATGGTGAGAAGCCTTCGGAAGCAACAAGGTCGCTTGGCCTAGGCACTTTGGGCGGAAAGCTTCATCAGTGCTTTGACGTGTCGGAAAACAAATTCCCAGGATGAGACGCTACGAACGGGGCTCCTGGCCTTACTACTAGGAGCAAGAAGCTACTAGTAGCAAGTGCCTCGCTAGTAGTAACAAGTGCCTTACTAGTAGTAACAAGAAGCTATTAGTAACAAGAAGCTACTAGTAACAAAGGGGGTATCGCTACGAACGGAGCAAGGATGCTATTAGGTTGGAGGCCATCACTCTTAGGGAGGTCGTTTACGTCTTTGCCTTGTGGCAAAAGAACATCATCTCTAACGTCTCTTCCGTCCCTTGCGTCTTGGATTCAAACGACTTCAACTCGTCCAGCTCGCCTGAACGTCGACAGGATGAAAAGGAAACAGTGTGAGGAAAGACTTCTCCTAGTAGCGTGGCACTTGTTTCTAGTAGCTTCTTGTTACTACTAGTAAGGCACCTGTTACTACTAGCGTGGCACTTGTTACTACTAGCGTACAAATGACATGCTTGTCTTTTCAATTGTTATGTTTATTTGGAGATTGGGCCGCGAAGACTGGGGGGAATGGTGAGGTAGGGTAGGTAGTAAGTAGTAAGTAAAGCACCAGAAGTAAGCTGCTACTGAGCAGGAAGCTATTTATAGCCCTTTGCTCCTAGTAGCGTCCTTGCTCCTAGTAGTAAGGCCAGGAGCCCCTAGCAGCGTCCTTGCTTCTAGTAGCGATGCCCTTTGCTCCTAGTAGCTTCTTGTTACTAGCAAGCATGCAGAATGGCCAAAGTTCCTCACATGGTCATAACTTGCAGTATATCCAAGGCAAGAATGGAAGAACTTAACACCCTGGCCTGCGAGAAACACACTGGCCTTCGCCATCAGCGTACTCTTTGGTTACTGCGTGTTTCGTGGGGAGTGAAGAACTGTTGGAAACAGAATCTCGAGTGAATTGTGGGTCAAAGCAACATTGCATCCCGGTCAACCCAAGAAATATCAGGTGAAATTCAATCTAAATCGCTAGGCACCCTTAAACTAAGTCACCGACGTCACTGTTGTTATTGCGAAATTTTGTCAAGGACTCCTGGAGCCAAACAGCCTTACAGGCTGTCGAAGTGTCAGAAATCAGAAATCATTAGGTTGGACTTGCTCCTAGTAGCGTCTTTGCTCCTAGTAGCGATGCCAGGAGCCCCTAGTAGCTTCTTGTTCCTAGTAGCGATGCCAGGAGCCCCTAGTAGCTTCTTGTTCCTAGTAGCGATGCCAGGAGCCCCTAGTAGCATTAGGTTGGACTAAGCATCCAAAATCTGCAAAAATGTGGTGAGACAGCGAGACACTCCGTTTTGAGAGCGACTGTTGAGAGCGTGGAGGCTCTTCTTGTGAGACGTCATAGTTGCACACGGGATTCACGACATTCGTCAGAAATTCACGACATTCACACCGATGAAACGTGACAAACGTGACAAAGCCTCGCATGCCGGTGCCAACAAGAACCTTTGACTCAGAAGACACATGTATTTGAGACGAAATGTGCAAACACTGTCGCTCACTTCTTGGCGAAGACCACTTGGTCCACTAGCTTGCGGCCCATGACCTGAAAAAGAGTACCGAAACGAGAAGAAAACAAAGAGATTTAAAACAATGAAAATAAGAAAGGAAAGGACAAACGCTTTTTAGTAGGGTCCAAGAAAGAAAAGGAAACACACTTTAGTAGGGTCCCTTTCTGCCCTTACCATCAATTGTCCATCCGTCTTTTTTTTGCAGAAATTGGAATGGCCTCCAACCTTTCTTTAGACCTTAGCGATGCCCTTTGTTACTAGTAGCTTCTTGCTCCTAGTAGTAAGGCCAGGAGCCCCTAGTAGCGTCCTTGCTTCTAGTAGCGATGCCCTTTGCTCCTAGTAGCTTCTTGTTCCTAGTAGTAAGGCACTTGTTACTA